GATAGAGCATCAGCCTGGGGACTGAAGGGTCCCAGGTTCGATTCCCGTCAAGGGCATGTACCTTGGTTGCTGGCACATACCCAGTGGGTAGTGTGCAGGAGGCAGCTGATTGATGTTTCTAACTCTCTATCCCTCTCCCTTCCTCTCTGTAAAAAAAAATCAATAAAATATATATATAAAAAAAGAACCATGTAGAAGGATTTGCTCTACCAGTTATCAAGATTTATTATACAATTCTTGTAATTGGTGCAGGGCAAATCCAATGGATCAGCAGGACAGGATAGAGATTCCTAAAAGAGACTTATGTGGACACTGGTATTTGACTCCAGGAAATGGAAAAAGGAGGATAGTGTGGGTATCCTCACACTCCGAACCCCTAAAGCTAATTCCAGATGGGTCAAAGGTCTAAATGTGGGGAGGTGAGGGAGAACTTCTCAAGTTATAGAAATCTCTACTTACAAAAGAAAAGGTTGATATATCTCATAATTTTAAAGTTAATAACATCTGTCAAAAGAACCAAAAAGGGTGAGCAAAGTCAGTCTAGGAAATGGAGGTTATTGGCTACACATACAGCTGACAAGGGACTCGTATCAAAACCCACTGTTGCACTGTTGCAAATCATTAAAGAGTAAGCACAATCTCTTTTTAAAGAAAAGCCAAAGAGTTTGAGCTGACACATAAGGAACTAAGGAACTCCAATGTCCAATAAATGTAGGAATTACTCATCACTCATGAGTCATCAGAGAAAGGAAAAGGAGAATCGTGAGATACCATCAAACACTCATTGGATTTTCAAAAATTAGTGTCCGAAAATACCAAGTGCTGGGGAACAGTGGAAAGCAGTGGGAACTCTTACCAACTGTTGGTGAGAGTATACATTGTCATGTGTATTTTGGAAAGTGTTCCTTCTATTATCTACTAGAGGCCCGGCGCACAAAATTCATGCATGGGTACGGTCCCTAACCTGCAGCCAGTCCCACCCCCAGTTTCCCGTTCGCCGTCAGGTGATTGGAGCCTGCTGGCTGGGGAATCGAGAGGTCAGCCGTCCGCCGGCTCACCAGCCCAGCCCCCGCCACGGGTTGCCCTCTGTGTGTGGGGCCAGTAGGGTCAATTTGCATATTACCCTCTTATTATATAGGATTACATTGGAAGATAGACATGCCCTGAGATCCAGGGTTGCATCCACTCGGCACAGTCCCCAGAAGCAGTCTTTGGGATTCAGGAGGCTACAATCGGGCATCACGTTCAGTTAACTTTGTAGAAGGATGGAGGACAAGAAGCAACAGCACCTTAGCATGAGAGCATCAAACACATCTTTGCTGAGCGTCCAGGGCTGCTTCTCAGCACCTCCAGGTGGCTGATACTACATGAGTGCTTCATGCACAAGAGGAACCATCTCTCTCTCTCTCTCTCTCTCTCTCTCTCTCTGTTTTGATCCTCACCCAGGGATATTTCCCATGGATTTTTAGAGAGAGTAGAAGGGAGGGGAGAGACAGAGGGAGAGAAACATAGATGTGAGAGAGACACATCGGTTGTTTACCTCCCACACATGCCCCAACCAGAGCCAGGATGGAGCCTGCAACTGAGGTATGTGGCCTTGACCACAATTGAACCTGCCGCCCTCCAGTCCACGGGCCGATGCTGTGTCCACTGAGCCAGAAGGGCTTGGCGAGGAGCCACCTCTTGAGGGTAGCTTCCAAGCCCCACCAGGAGCACACTCAGTCGTAAGAAACACCCCCCAGAGAAATCAGGTTTCTATTCAGTCTCAGTCACATAGGCCCGTGGGACCCATGAACCCACTCACAATCCTTTCCGGGGTCATTTTTATAGTGAACATTGCTGCCTGGGAACACAGCTGGCATTCCAGAGGTACCTTAACCCGGTATGTTTCCATGGAAACAGTGGTGGAAGAAAGTAAACTAAAGTCATGTTCCAATAGGAAGCAGGTTTATCTGTTAGTGTTTTCCCCCCCCCCCCGCCCCCAGCAATTACACTTCTGAGTATTTATCCTGGAACCAGGATTCATGTAAAAGAAGGTTGACAGAAGCATTATTCATGCAACCAGCTTCAAACTGGAAACAACCAAATGTCCATCAATATTGAGTGAATACATACATCGCGGTATATGTGTATAACGAAATAGTATACAACAGCCAAAAAAATGAATGAGTCACAATTATACACAGCAACAAGGATGCATTTGACATTGGAAGGAGGCAAGCAGACTATATAGGTCAGTGGTTCTCAACCTTGGCTGCACGTGAGAATCACCTGGGAATCTTTTTAAAATCCTGATTTCTGGGCCTCATCCTCCGGAAATTCTGATTCTTTGTTATGGGGTGGGGCC